TCAGGTGAAGCTGTTAATTCCTATGACCGTTGCAAAATTGATGACAGTGATATAGAGCTCAAGTCTGACTTTAAGTATCTCGGACTAATTCATCAAACAGCGTATTAGCCTTAAATGTATATCACACGCATGCATGAGCTAGGTATGCAAACCAAGGTAAACGCTGATATAAGTATAAAACTTGGGCACTGTGGTAGAGTATAACTCCATTATGGATAAGATTTTATTTTGATAAATCAGACAGTGTTGTACAGTTATATTAACTGATGACGTTTCGAGCACAAACGCTACCACGGTATACTCATTATTTAAAAAACTAACTCATATTTGAGAACTACGATTTGACCGGCTTTACAACGTTTAATATATTTAGACACAATAGACATACACTGCTTACTTCTATGACGCATTACCTAAAGCTACCCCCTTGCTACTACCTAAGTGAGCAACTCAACGTTATCTTTGAATTACAAAGTAAAAGCGGACATCCTGAGAGCTTTCTGGGTGAAAAGATCGTCTCCTAGTCGAGAAAATAAACATATCCTAATCTCTTCACGAAAGCGTTTAGAGTTATTTATCCTATCGCCTCAAATGACTCACTATTTGCTGTCAATTAAAAAGTAAAAACAAATTTATCGAAGGCAGTGTGCTTATGGTTTCTAGACATCATAATGCACCATGAGGAAAAAGCTTTATTCATAGGGTTATAGCAGTTACATGCGCGATATAAATCCGAAACTCAACGACTACGATTCTCAATCACAAAACATTCTACTTTGCTACCTAATCGTCTCAATAGATGCTTCGCCAAGAAAAAGACCACTGGTTCAAAGAAAATTTATTTAAAGTTTTCTTATAAATCATGGGCAACCGTATTTATAACCACGGAGAAATCACAAGCATCCGAAAAATAGGAATTTCATTATTTGAACTGAAACAAGCAATTTGTAACCAGCCAATTTTCTCACCCCGATTAATAATCAGATTCTCAGACGGTTGTAAATTCGAAACGTTATTCTTGCTAGTGAAATTCTTACCGAACACTCACCAGATCATCGTACGTTAGCCGCTTTTCAAATCCTTTTGAAACAAATAAAATGGTTGTTAACACCGCGTTTACTACAGGCAGTCCTAGTTCGTGCGTTTGGATCTAGTACACTAGGCATTAACAATCATTTAGGGATTTCCTATTGCTTCCTAATTTTGCTTCCAAAAGTACATACAAACACCACACATTCATACTTCACATGTGGCTCACCCTTGCTTGATTCTCTCACATTATACCTGATTTTTTAGCTGACAACAGACACCTTGTCGAAAAGCTCCAAAGCATTTTAAACTTCAAACCAGGTTCTAAATTCTCTGGGTTTAATTAGTTCTTCGAAAACTTTGCTAATATCAACCCTGATGGTGCTCTCTTCACCGGATTCATTCGTAGATTGTTGCATGCTGTAAACATGAACGTGAGAGACATTTTTTTCCAGATTCCTACATATTAAGTAACCAACTGAGCCAGCAGCACTAACGGCAACCAAAAATGAACTGGAAACAAATGGCGGCGAAGTTCAACAATAGAGTCCCAAGATTGTAAATGTTCCAATGACCTTGTGAATGTTCCAATGACCCTGGACGCATGCTAGTCATTGGTTGAGGAAGCTCACCTATATTCTAGCGCGAATAATTGTGCATACTGGTAAGCGACACTGAATTAATTGTCTTCTAGGAACTTTCTTTGAAAAGTTGAAACTGTCTTTGATGATTGGTTGTTATTGGTGTCGAAAGTTTAACTTTGCCTGAATATCTTGTTTCTGTCCAATCACTGGGTGCCAGAGCGAATAACGTTTCGGTACATCATCATAGAGTGAACCATTCGAATGATTCCGTCGACCCTGTCATACTCATAATAATTCCATCGAAGGTTTCTGGGGAAGACTGAAAAATAGAATCTGAGCAATCAACGGATCACAAAACGAAGTTATTTTCAGTCATTTGAATGAATACATGTATAGAAATTGGTTTAATTTAAAAACTGAAACTCCTCTTAATAATTGGAACATTTTTTATCTCATATTAGAGAAAAGTACCCTGTTTGATTTTTTCATGCTTATTTATGTAAAAATACGTAAATTTTTTTGCAAAAATCATCCTTTTTTCTGATTAGTTGGTTCAAGGTCACTTGTGCGTTCGTTCCTTGGGACTCTATTGTAGAACTTTGCCACAATGGCTTCTGCTTCCCAAACATGTTCACGTGTATAATCTCCAAGATTTCTACACAGTACTAATTCATTAATAGCTGAAAAACAATTAAAACACTGAAACCATGCATGAATGCAACGTATGAAACAATTACAATGAAACGAATGCACTGACCTGGTGGCAAAAACTTTCGAAACAAACGAAATAACTAATTTCAACAGAAATGGAAACAATAATGAAGTGAAACGCAACATTTGTGAACAATGTGCATCAAGATAAGTTGTGAATAACTGCTGGATAAACGGAAAAATCGATGTGTAAACGAACAGCAACGGAACTGCAATCCAACATGGCCGACTAACAAGGACGAAAATGACCTTTGAGCGTCTCACTCCATCAATGACCTTGTACATGGCGTTTAATTTCTGCCTCTGTCAATGGATAGGGGGAAAACACACGACCTTTAGGAGAGGCTGAGCACTTCAAGGTCACTATTGCTTCTTGTGGTTGGTTATTTCAAGCTGGCATTTACGTGGCGGCAATACGTAAGTAGTGTAAACCTCTTTCAATTCTCTCCCGTTGATAGTGATTGGTGCTGGTTGTCGTTGCTTTTTTTTTTAATAATAGTAATTTTTGTTTTATTCCAAAAACAGTATTAATGATACAGCAAGGAATTTTCAGCATTCAGTACAATATTGCATCTAATTTGCTCAAAAACGACAACAACAAAAAATAAATAAACGAAATAATTAATATATAATAATGATAACAAAACGTTTTTATAGCAGCTATATAGCAATTACAGTATACGATAAGGAGAAAAATACGCATAAAGTATAAAATTATAGTAATAATAGTAATAACAACTGAAATAAAAATAGCAAAGTTATAATTAAACGATAGAAAGGGTGACACCATAGAATTACAGAAAGATGAACAATAAAAGGGTCGATTCACTTTGCTAATTACATAGTTACTTATATGCTTCACGTCTAACAGAGTCTTCATCACATAAAATACGGGTTAAATACGGTATTGTAGAATTTTTGTACCTAGTGGTACGAGCATATAATTTCTTATATTGATTTCTCGTTCTACCTGATGAGATACAAGGGGATAGTTGTGAATAAAGAGGGTGCAGAGGGTCTGACAGTACGGCCTTTGCCCAATTTGTACAGGAATTTACGTGTCTCTCGACTATAGTATTGGCGAGCTCACGCAGTGGCAAACCACAAGCCCTACTCACAGCATTTAATACCCTTCGTAATATGACATAGTCTTTTTTAAGAAGCCCAGGAAAGATTAATGGAGAACAATAGAGTACAACAGGTAAAATACAGGAGTTTAAAAATTGCAGAACTAAAGGTTGGTTGATACCTTGTTGTCATAACTTTTTAATGTAGAAGGTAAGACGAAACATTTTCTTAGAGATTGATAAGATGTGGGATGACCATGAAATGTCAGAGGAAAGAATTAATCCAAGGTATTTAATGCTTGACTTGGTTTCAATTTCCGTGCCATCTATGCTACAGGCATCATGGGAACTAACTAGTTCATGTATGTCACGTCGATGCTTGAAGGTAAAGTTAACTGCCTGACATTTGGAAGGATTTAACATAAGACCATTTGACTTAGACCACTTGCTGATGTCCAACAGAAAGCTATTAAGTTTGGAGCAGTCAGACTCGGAAGTGATAGGCAGTGATACAGTCAGATCATCAGCATATTTGACAAAATTAGTTTCGTTTAAATGTGGCAGGTCGTGTAGGAAGAAAGAAAAAAGAAAAGGAGAGAGGATGGCACCTTGAGGAACACCGGCTTTTGTAAGCAAAGCAGAAGAAGATTTGCCATTATATGCAGTATACTGCATTCTATCAGAAAAATAAGAATGCAACCAACTCTTAGCCCAGGATGCTGTGTGCGTCAAGGAGAGCTTATTTAATTAAAGGCCCCTAGGTACAGAGTCAAACGCAGATGTGTAGTCTAGGAAAGCACCACGAACATATTTGGCACCTTTGTCTAAACAAGAAACAACATTATGATATAAGACAACCGCAGCATCCAAGGTACTTCTACCATGTTTATATGCAAATTGCTTAGGATCATTAAAAGCTTTCAATGAAGGTTCAAGACGAAGTAAAAGTAGTTTTTCCATCAATTTTAAAAAAACTGGTGAAAAAGGCGTGAAAGTTGTGTTGTGGTTGATGACTGAGGAAGTGGTTGATGTATTTAACCGGATATTGAAGGGTAGACATTTTGACAGCTGGGATGCATTTGAGAAAGCCTTTAAAGAGTTTAATAAGCTTGCGCATACGCATTATGTTGTGAGAAGCAGTTATGTAGATAGCGCTAATCCTATTCTTCGTTACAAACGTGTAAGTTATGTCTGTACCTTTGGTCAAATACGGCGAACTCGTTCCAAAGGAGTTAGGCCACTAACACCGTAATTGTATGTGTGAGTTATTAGTCTGTGTTTTATAAGTTTTAAGTATACGGGTTGTACATCCAGTTTCTGTGTTAATTCAGTTAATAGAGGTCTGGAAGTAGGTGATATCAAGGGTCTACATAACCATCCGTGTACCAAAGAATTTATGATGGTTGACAACAGCAGACGTTGGTTAACTGATGAGGAGAAGACTGAAGTGAATAGTTTGGTGAAATATATGATGTCAACTGGTCAACTGAGGCATGCAGTTTTCTCTAAATTTGGAAAATATTTGACGCGAAAGGATGTTGTAAAATTGAGAAAACAAGTGTTTGGAGGTTTACATATTTCGAATTAATCGGTTAATGTCATTCTAGTTATGAAAAGTATGAATGAAGTTCTGGAACTGTTGGCATCAACAGGAGAAGTTCGTACACAGACTACAAATGGAGAGATTGATGTCATATGTTTCAGCCTGCATCAACAAATTAAGTTTTTTCAGAGTTTTCCAGAAGTAATTTGCATTGATTCGACGTACAAAACGAATAAGCTTGGGTAAGTTACTGATACTGGTGTAATTTCTGAAGATTCAGTCTTTTTCAGTTAGTCGCAACAGATGGGTGTGGAAATGGTGGTTGTGTTATGTTTGCTTTTTGTAAGAGGGAGACAGTGTTGGATGTGACGTGTGTCCTGCAGATGTTTAAAGCCATTATGGGATGTACCGATGCAACGAAAACGTTTATAATGGATAATTGTCAGGCGGAAATATCTTCGGTGCAGCAAGTCTTTCCACATTGCAGGATAGTCCTATGCTCATTTCATGTGCTGCGAGCATTTGGTCGGAAGGTATGTGCATATAATTCATGATTACTGTGTAGTTTCGGAATAGTGACATACGGTTCGTACTACGAAGAATGCTTTCAACGCGTTTTAGAGAAAGGTAAGTGACCTATGTGTTACTAATTTGTTATTTCTGAAGATTTTACGAATATTACAGATTACTTCAGGATAAATTCCCTCAAGCATACCAATATTTAAATGGACAATGGATGAATAACAGGAGAATGTGGGCTAGATGCTTCAGGAGGAAACTTATGACATTGGGTAACGGAACTAACAACAGAGTAGAGAGTGCTCATAAGCACTTAAAATTGCACCTTCGGCGAAACGACCCACTAGTGCTAACCTTGTGGAAAGTTTATAAGGCAGCGAAAAATTATTGGCGTCTAAGGCAGTACGATACAATGTCGACTTTACATAAATTTTTTCGATATGATGTAAGTAGCAATTCATTATTACACCCTTTGCAGGTTCCGGAGGTAATTCAAAGGCGCATAGACAAGTTGACGCCTTATGCCGGGAAATTAGTATTCAACTGTTACCGGAAGGTTGAACGCATTCATCACACTGTAATAAGCAGCGACTTAATTGAATGCGATGATGGAGTTGCATTGAACCTTGTAGACATATCCAGGGGAGTGTGTACGTGCCATCAATTCCATGATTATCACCTGCCTTGCTCCCACATCCTGTATGCCTACACCGTTGGATTGTTCACTGGAGGTAAGTTTAAATCACACAGTTTACATGCATATTCCAATAGATTTACTACAATACAGCCTAAGGTGGTCGCGGGAGTACAACTATCATGCTTGCATGGAAACAATCGAACGCGTCCCAGAAGCCTCTGATGCAGATAATTTATGACCTTTATTTTTTTACTTCAACTATTTTTGTACTGCTTATTTTTTTATATACATATTTTCATTTTTTTTGTAAATACAGAAATTCCTATTACCTCAGTGTGTTTCTTTCATTTATGACGTCGAAGATGCATTAGTCTTAAATAGAATCTTAGGTAACGTAATAATACTGTCGTAAAATGCTTTCAAACTCGTAAGCAGTTATAAGTTCTTAGGTGCGTGCAACATATCACTTACATTTATCCAACTGCGTGTAGTCTAGGTAGGCATTAGTGTTAAAAAGGAAATCGCTTGAAACAGGTGTTTGCACTGTCATAAGGAAATGCAGTTACCCTTTTATAAAGCACAATCAAAGTGGTTAGCCGTTATTACTCCTTATATGCGAGCAAACATCAACTATTAGTTAAGTACGACTGCGTGAACGATTAGCTTCCGTCAGTGCTACCGCGAAACCATACGTTCATCTTATCTTTCTTATGCGATGACTGCATATGCACAATAACAAATAGAGGGCGATTACGTACATCGAAAATAACGTATTATAGGTATATCGTAATTAACATAATTATCCCAGTATTCTTCTACTGCGTAATTTATGATTCATTCGAAGTAATTATAAATTCCAAAAATACCTACATCACTATTCCTTAGGTAAAGTAGTCGTGCAACAATACTGTTAATACTTTTAAGAAATATTTATTTTTAAAAAAATTTTATAATATCAAAAAGATTCAACCGTTAACACGAAATTTCTTCAAAATAACTTAATCGCAGCTCTGAAATGATGTAAATCATCACTATTGTTACCTGAAAACCAACAACAGTGATACTTCTATTAGCAAATACTTACCTATACGAAATTGTTAAAAATGAAAGGACATCTTAGTAATAACTTTGTTTCTTCACTTTTATGTTTCGAATAAATCAACTAACACTCCTCTATAGCTGTAAACTCTTCTGATTGCAACCAAATTTTCAGAACCCAGAGATTCAAAGCATCACTTCGGATTTTCGCAAAATATACTTCATTTACCTATTTTACTTCGTTCTCATTAACGTAATCAACAATTTACATAGAATTTTAACATTCCGCATGCAAAGAAACAGCAAAATTTCATGAAAATTACGTGTTCACTCAAACTGCTGAAAAACGTCTACTTTCCACCGTTTTTCTAAGTTTTTTCGTTAAAATATGGTATTTATAATGCATTTCAGTTGAAAAAAAAACACCTGAAAACAACGTAGAACAACCCAAACACAACATCGCGATAACACATAACGACACCCCGTGTGTGCCCCTATCCATTGCCTGCAACTCTCGTAAAAACATTTGAAATCAACCGCCAAGGGTGGTGTTGTCAAACCTGCATCTTTGTAACGTATAATTAGCTTCAACATCCCCATTAGTTCTTAAGAAGAATAGTTGTTCAGCGAAGAGTCACTATTTTCGGTGATAAGATTTTGAGGGCTTACAGTCGTCTATGTTTAAAAAAGTGTCATGCCTACAAAATCAATATTTCCATATATGTGTCATTCAATATTTGATTCTTGAATATCAGTGGAGAAGTGTTGAGGGAGTTAAAGAAGTACAGTAAACATTATTCAGAAGGAGACTGGAAAAATATTGCGTGAATAAAATGGTCGATACCACACAAATGACTGATTTGATTAGAAATTAGCGAGAACCGAACCATTAAGAGTGGAGGTATCAGAGATTGAAAGGGGGAGAAGCAAAATATTTCCAGTTGACTGTGTCAGAGAACCTATCTAATTCCATTGAATACTGTTCAACTTTGTTAATAGTCAAAGATGCAATCTGAAAAGCATTCAACAAATCTATTTAGGGAATAGTTGAAGCGAATCGCTTGAATGTCAACGGATATCGCAGTCAGTGAATTGTACTGGATTGAAACAGGACGTAATATTTATGCCATGTAAATCGAAGTACTTACTTATCTGAGACTTCGCTTTAAACATGGACAGATAAACTTCATTTCCTGTTTTGTTCACATGTGCATACAAGAGGGGAGATTGCTAACAGTCCTTATAATTTTTAGATTGATCATCCTGCTCTCTGCCATTCGCAGTGATAAACCTGAAGTAGTTTCGACTTGGACAGTGACCAAAACATGAGCTTCAAAATGTCCATCCAAACTTGAATTTCAATATGCAAAATTAAGTATATGATACACATCTATCATACATCACTATATAGATACGTTGAATATTTTTTTCCAACTGCATATTTCCATTATTCTAATGGTTGATTTAACACGTACAGAATCCTCCTTCAGTAACAACTGACTCTGACACTATCACTATTACCGCCAGCACCATCACATATGTAAATATATGTACATATCTCCTACTTTGAGAAAATGTTCATAGCACAGACCAGTGGTCATTTTGATGACCAATTTTATTTTAACAAGTGACATACGTTTTCACAGAGACCGAAGGTAACACGTTATGCGCACAACAGGTTATCTGGAATGGTTGATTGCATGTGGACAGTGGCGGTTTGTCATCCATTTGTTAGTGATACAAAGAATCGTTTGCGAGTGAAGCGTTGAACGAAAATATGAAGTTTTCGGACTCAAGGGATGAATGAGAAAGTTTTCAGACTGAGGACAAACATCTTCTGGTGATCAGTCCTTATTAAGTTCCCCAGGAAGTCAAAGATTCTCGACCCTGATCAACCCACCACGACGATGATCTGTGTGACGTATTCCCACAAGAATAATTCACATTTAACTCTTTAGTCACTTGCAAATTTTGTAAGTAGAAGCAGACATTAGGAAGATAAGAGCTAGACATTCTTTGAACATTATTGATTTTCTCACTGAAATCATTCTCAAACTTCAATCTAGTATACGTACACTTAAATACACTCGATATTTCAACCGATAATGATGACATGTGACAGCATTTCACTCGATTTCCGCCACTGATTAAATAAGAGAGACAGACGAAACTCACTTCACTTTAGCTCAACTTATAGCTATGAAGACATACACTGAATAGAGAATACTCCAATTAAAAGTGTTCTCTGAGCTGGTGGGTTTAGTTGCGGAGCTTTCGTCTTTCTTCTGGAAAACATCTTCAGCGCAATATTTAGCATGAAGTGAAATGATTTAGATTTTTTCATGAGTGATATAATTGCGTCTCCCGGTAGCCATCTTTATATGTGTTTTGACCATTTTCTGTTGACTTGGATTTTAAACTTTCTGGTCACCTGATCTACTTTTTATTAGTTGGTATATTTCGTCTATATTAACATGTTTGTTAGTTGCATATTCGTTTGAGTACCAGGCTTCTATGAATTCCCCGACTGCACTTTTGATGTTTCCTCTGTCTAAGATTTTGACATGATCCCAATCAAATTTATGACCATAATTGTCTATATGCATTGAAACTAAAGAATATATATCGTGTCTTTTCACGGCTGATTTGTGTTCCTGGATTCTGATTTGAAGGGGACGCCCACTTTGGCCGATGTAATGCTTGTTACAGTTCATACAATTTATTTTGTAGATGGTATTAATTTTATCCCCTTTTTCTGTTGGATCTTTTGGTTTGCATAATATCGAATTAAGCGATTTTACTGGTTTGTGTGCTATATCTATATCTAACGGTTTCAGTATTCTGGCTGTTATTTCAGAGATATTCCTCATGTATGGTAGGATGAATTTTCTTGTGGTCTTTGATGAGTGTTCCTTGTTGGTGTTTTTTGATTCGACTTTAAACACTTTTTGATGAAATTTTGTGGGCAATCATTCTTTTTAAAGACCGTTTGTAGGTACTTTTCTTCCATTCTTTTCAGCTCTGGAGTGCTACAATGTGTCTGAACTCTTTTAAACAATGTCTGCACACAGTTTCGTTTGTGAGTAACTGGATTATTGCTAGTATAGTTGAGTATTTGATCTGTGTGCGTTGATTTTCTATAAACTTGTGTCTCTAAATCTCCTGAGCAGTCCACTTGACTGCTCACTTTACTAGGCTGTTAAGAGAATGGAGCATTAATGCGATTTTCAGTCAATTGATCTTTCTAGTTTGATCTGAATACAGAATATTACTCTCGAAATATCTTCAAATTTATGAACTATGCATGATGAGTTTAGGGGAATTGTTTCATTGAGATAAACGTAATATTAAACAGACAATCATTTGGAGGCCTTGAATTCTATTGCTTTCTGAAGAGTCCTAGGCTACAATAACGCAGCTGTCCAATACTTCTTGATTTTCATCAGTTCGCTAACTTGTGTCAGCTCATTGTCTACCTCAAAACAATTATTTCGTTTCTGTAGACCAGTCAAATTGAAAATAGTCGATTGCTTTGAATTCAACGTGTTGTGTGAGTGAAAGTCCATTGTTGATAATACGGTCATATATTGTACTTTTAATCAATCCGCTGCGTCCAGTTTGCAATTAGGAAGGATAGTGTTCCTCCTCCTGTTTTCGATGAAACTCACAACAAACGATCATTCATTATTGACAACTTTATACGCAGACTCCATGAATGAAGAAGGACGTGATCATTTTATGCACTATTAACAGAACTTAGTGCAGTTCAGAACACTTTTCAGTGATTTGTTAGAGGATGCTCAGGGTAGACTTTGTATCACTGGGTTATATGCTATACGCCATTTGTACTCTCAAATAAATATCCTACAAGATTTAGGAAGAGAGC